ATTCATCATTCATTTAAGTTTTATAATTAAATGCGAATCTGCATGTCCATTTCTCTTGTAACGCATTACATCATTATTAGTTAAAATTAACGTTCGTAAGTTGTATTATTATTAATTTGATATTCTAATTAAAACAATTATTTAAACATGACACAACAACATTTATAAAATTGTCCACAGACAAAAACTAAATTAATTAATTTAAAGTTTAATTGATCACACACCAAAAAAAAAAACTTTGCATCACCATCTGGACAAGGTTGCACATTTCAGTTTCAATCTTGTTATTATATCTCCTTGCAAACACACGTGTAGGTGTAACTCGATACATATTATTATTATAAACAAAGAAGCTATTGTTTTAAGCAAAAAATAAGAACTTGATTCGACAGATGCGAAAATGAATCTTATTCGCGATTATATAATTATGCGACTTCCTCTAAATAATAATAATAAAAAGTTGCGTCAGATAAGAAAAAGGAAACTTTCTGTGTTTACGAAACACTCTTGTTGTGAAGATTGTCCACATGCTGTTGTGCTGCGATGTAAATTTCGAACATTTGTCCTTTGCTATAGTTTGTAACCTAGTTTAATGCAAATTGCGTTGAATGTGAGAACCGCGCTCTCGGTGACTCACGTTCTCTTAATTATTCAAAAACCGTACTGCCGGTCTTTCTGTCTGCGAGCACCTATTTTTTTTTTGTTGTTGGTTTTGCTGTTGTTTGCACTCAGTGGAAATGAAATTAATAATGAGATCGTTACGCAAGAATCGCGGAAACCGAAAATTCCGAAATTGATGCGCGTGGAATTGGAGTAGTTCTGCGAAGTGATAAAAGGTTGCTGGGAGCTTTCTAAACTTGCTTTCAGTTCAAATGAAATCATTAAAACGTGTTGTCGAGAGAGAGAAGAAGACGATAAAGAAAAGAGAGAGAGAAAGAAGGATGTCGTAACGCGAAGAAGTGAAGCCATTGAAGCATCAACGGCAAAAAACGAAGAATTGTAAAGGGGGGAGAGAAAAGAATAAAGGTGGAAGCGAATATTTCCGAATTACACATTTGTTTTTGTCTGGCCGGACAGGTTTTTCGTGGACGAAAATAGATTAATTTTTGTTGTGCAACGATTTTTTGCATAAACATTTCGCTCTGGAACAAAAGGATATGAACATAGAGAGACAACATGAACAACAGCATCGACGTGTCTCCTTTTTTTTTGTTGTTTATCTGCATTATTATTATGATTATATCGTCTGTTGTTGATGTTCTTGCAGTTACGTCCTTTCGGTGGGAAGCTTTCGCGGGAACGTTGCGAAATGTGCGATAACATAATAAATTTTATCCACAAGAAGCATATAAATTAGGTTCAACGATCTTATAAATAAAATCGGACTCATAATGAAATAATGGCTTATTTCCCATTCAATCCGCACCGGTGTGTCGGTTAGTTAGTTAGTTAGCTATGCTCAAACCTAAGTTCTTTCGTATTATATCTCTCCTTTTCTTTATTCTTATTATATGTATGTATACGTGTAATTTCTCATACGCTCGAATCGCATCCTCGAACGCACCGCTTCACCACCAAACCGGAAACACTTTCTAACCATTTCTAGGTGGCTGACTGCCTTTTTATCATCACCAAGCCTCATCCGAAACCGTTCCATTTCATATACGTATAAACACACACAACACACTCGTCCATACATACATTATGAACGTTGTTACGCAACGATTCCAATCAGATTTCGATCTCATTACATCTCCTCTCGTAGTCTCACACACAGGTATATAAAGCATGAGAAAGAAACTGACTAGTTTCCATTATAAATCCCTCGCTCTCTCAATACAATTTCATTTATTTATTTACTTTTTGTTCGTATTCCAAACGCTCCAAACATTTGATTCCAATCCCTGTTACGCAAAACACGTACGTATCTGTATATATATACATATACATACAAAATACATGCGGATTCTAATTTAATTTGAATGCATGAAGTCAGCGTTTAGAGTTCGCCGCGCCGCCACTCCCTAACAACACACACAACAAGAGAGATAGATACAAGCTGGAGATTAAATGCAAAAATATTCCGTGAATCAAACGCGAAAATAAATATGATACCGTTGCGTTATATCATCCACTTCTATACGGGGACAGAAGGACGATAAACATACAAAAAACAGTGGTGAGGATCAAGTGGTGCGGAGGGACTCCGTTGAGAAAGCGCGCATTTGGGAGTTATCGCAGTTCGTGCATGAAGTGGAAGAATGAGAGGAAAAATTTCGGAGCGACTCGTTTATTTCGCTTATTCACGGATCAAGTATGCGTGTGCATATATGTATATCATCGATGACACAATTCGCGAAATTCGAATTTGCCGCTCTGCAGAGCTTTCCGAACTCACGTCTTGCTCGTAGATGTCTCCACTTGTGACTTATCGCAGATTTACTTTTGATAGAAATAATTCAATGTTTTTATCAATTTTCTTATATAATTAACGAAATTTGTACTCTCATTATTCACATCATAGATGTCACTACTGGTTGTCACATAATTTCCATTGGCAGAAACAATTTGTATTATTACTAGATTTACTACACTCGTGCACTTTTATCACTCACAGGTGTCTCTACCCGTTTTCCATTGATGAAACATTATTTTCAATTCAATCTTTGTTGAAAAAGACATAATTTAGTGATTAACCAGATTATATTGATCTCATTCTTGTTTAAGTGTTTACTTTCCTTTAGCACAGATTTATTAACAAGTCTCCATTCGATTGACGTTTTTCCAATTAGCTTTTTACATCGTTCAATCATTGTTTTAAGATTTCTTTTGTTAAATAATTCTCTTAAGATATATATCACTTTAGCGAAATGACAGCTGTCACCATGTGTCAAAGCGGTGAAATACAATTGGGTCGTTGTATAATACTTTTACAATACTTTTTGCATGTGATTTGTGAATAGAAATGTTGAATTATTCATATTGAGTGAGAAATCAAGAAAATAGAAGTTACATACTTAACGATATAATCGTGTACATAAATACGAATACTAATGCATTGCTAAATTAGTTCGTATATCGACAACAGATGTCGCAACTAACATCAATGCAATCTGTCTTCTCGAGGTTTCTAATTTCTTGATCTTTCATACGAATTAATGGTTATCGTTTATTAAAACATCCATTAACCAATTTTTTAAATCTAATCTTTGTTTTAATTATTATCTTTCATTAAGTAGAAAATTAACTTAAAGAAATATAATTAAATTAGTTTTGATATTATAATGAAAGCAGTTGAATTATTCATTGAAATTGAGATAAAAATTAAAGGAAGATATACACTTAATGATATAATCGTGCACATAAAATACGAATGCTAATACACTATTAATGCCACGGTAAATTAGTTCGTACGTCGACAACAGATGTCGCAACAACAAACTGCAACGCAATCTGTCTTCCTGGGGTTTCTAATTTCTTGATCTGCTCGCCACGATCTGCTATATAGGTTGTTTTTTTTTCTGCACATTTGTATAGTGATCGTGCTCGTCCGTGCGTATTAATATGAAAAATATGCATAATCGAGAATTTCCAAGAAATATTACGTTAACACACATCACTGATTTATAATATCATTTGCTTTATTTTATATATATATATATTTTTATAATTGCATTTCCTATTGAACACAATTTAGAAATCTTTTATTTCCATAGTGAAACTCATTTTTTTGTCTTTGCATTTTTTTAATATCATTATTTTTGTAGCTCAAAGAAAATGTGATCATTTTGTGATTGTCTACAAGAATTCGTAAAATGAAAACAAATATTTAAGTAAATTTAAGTAAAAAGTAAATAACTAATTTAATTGAATGTCTATAGATTCTATTCAAAAAACAAACTGAAGTTATCTTTACTTTGAAATGTTAGAAAATTTCTTACGCAAATATTTAATTAAAATATTAGTTTTGTGCGTTACCTTTGTCACTTTTCTTTCATATTTCTTGGAAGGAAAATGCATATTTGATTCGACTCTTTAACTTTCAGATAATTCCGGTAAATTGTTGAACGAACTTGCAGAGCGGAAACTCAATATTCTCTTGATGAGTTTTCTAAAAATACTGTGTGAACTTTGGAACGCAAAAAGCCCGATTTTTAATGGTAAATGAAACTCGATAAAAACCAAAATATGTTGCGCACGAAAGTCTGGCAAAAATTTACTTGCGTCAATTAACAGCTTATAGATGCTGAAGAAGCTGAAGTAAATTTATATAGTTATTGAGTGAATGCTGTCAATTTTTTTTGATAATAACGAATCCAATGATTGCAACTTTCCAAAGTGTTTAAACGACATTTCTCGGATATGATTCACGTCCAGTTATGTATACTCCATTGCGGATTAATTGTTGCAATTTCATGGTTCATTTATGTAAAAGCTGTTATACAAGTTCCGTCTTCTTTGCACATCGAGACTTGGCACAGAACGCCGCAATAATATACATACGACTTATGCAATTGCAGAAGTAATAAAAGAAAAAGGACGACGACGAGGAAACTCGAATCTCTCCTCTTCCGTCTACACGAAAATACTATTTATAATAAGTAAATGCTATTTGCATTGCGATTAATCACCTGCTTCTCAAATCACCCGAGGGCTTCGACCTTTCGCTTAGGCAATGAGGAATTATTATTGATTGCGTACACTTAATTAGTTGGAATTCATTACCAAGAATGCGATTCAATTCATTTCGATGTTTTTCTTTAAACCATTAAAGAAAAAAAAAATCACCGCTTCGTTCTGTAAACGTATCTTCACACGCATATTCGAATCATAGTTCTCATGATTAGTTAACTGGAGCGTATACGAATTAGATTTCCTTTTTTTTTTGTATTTTATTAATTAATTAAGTTATAAATTAGTAGGCTTGTTTCTAAGTAGAATAGGAATAGAAAAAAAAATGAGCACCGAAATAATAAAATTCTTTTGTTTTTTTGTTTCAGGTTACCGACAGTGACCAGTTACCTCAGATAGTCTGTATGAAATGTTCAAATCAATTGGACGCGTTCAATTGCTTCAGGGAGAAGGCCAAACAGACGGAAGACCACTTAAAGAAATTCCTGCAGAAAACCAAACAGCTTACTGGCACGTCACAGGTTAGTGTTTTTTGTTCTTTTCGGTTATAATAAAAAAAAAAGTTGTTACTTCCTCAATTATTCGTTAGAATTGGATTGTACATGACGGAACTGGCGAAGGGGTAGCTTCGGTTCCTTTTGTAGAGCACCAATTTGTTGTAAGCTAACCAGAAGGCCACCACAACGGACATGATCAGAAGAATGCTGAGCATTATCAGAGAAGTTCTTATGATCCTCATGTCGCTAGACGATCCATCCCCTGACCAATTCAGGATGTTATCCTGCAACGATGATTGCTCTTCAAGCATCCAGCAATTAAAATTATTATAATTATACCTGTTCGAAGCAAACGTCTGATCCTAAAGAGTACACCTCGTATTGCTTTTCGCTTTTGAAGTCGTGGCAATAAGGTCCCTCCTTGTCCCGCTTAATATCTGCCGACAATCGTGTGGTAATGTTGAAGAGATCGCATTCGCAGTAAAAGTTGTTCTTCTTCAAATCCAGGACGTTCAACACGGACCAATCCACTAGTTTAACAGGAAGCGATTGAAGATTGCAGTTGCTCAAATTCAACTGAAATCGAACACATCTTAAAATAATAATGATCTTAATTGTTCACTCACCTCTCTAATATGTCTGATATCCCCGAAAGCTTCATCCTCAATATTCGTAACGTTCATTCCAGATAAATTGATTTTCCTCAAGTTCTTCAGTGGCATGAAAGAGTTCGTCTTAATAAACATCATCTGCTTCAAATCGGCCGCTGAAATCTCCTCGAGCGAATCTAAACCGACGAAAGTCTGATCGGTGAACTCGATGATCGGATTCCTATCCACCGATAGTTTCTTCAGTTTCTTCAAATGCACCAAAGAGTTTGGAACGAAGTCGAAGATGTTTCCGCTCAAATCTAAGATGATGAGTTCAGTCAGAGGCTTCATCGCTTCTTCCGGTATATACAAGAACCTGTTCTCTCCAAAGAACAGCTGTTGTAACTGGTTCAAATTCTGGAACGATTTCACCGAGGGTTTATCAAAGATCCTGAAGTGATTCCCCTCTAAATTGAGGTATTTCAAATTGGGTAAATGCTCGAACAGATTCTGCTCCAACGAATGGATCTTGTTGTAGGAAAGATCGAGATGCTCCAAAGCTATTGGCTCGTAAACGGAATTGTTGTACGGTCCTTTGAACACGTCCGAATGCAGCTGATTCGCTTTAATACTGTTGTAACTCAAATCCAAGTGCTTGATTTGGATGCAGTTCTCCATCAAACCTGTGTCAAGTTCTGCAATTCCGCAGTGATCAAAGTAAACCACCAACGATAGATTGGTGGGAGGAAACGCTTTCAAATTGGTGATGTTGTTCCTGGTGAACATTCCAATAATCGTGTTCGAGTTCTTCGGCGGTTCAGGCCAATTTGCAAGAACATTGATCATCCCTTTGGTACGACAATCGATGTTGTAATTCTTTCCGTTGCTGTTGCACTTGCATTGCGACTCGCATAATCCAGTTGAATTTTGAAAAACTTCGCCCGATACGAAAGTCATCATCAGCAGAAGTACCTACAACACGGTATTATTGATTCGCACATTAGATAATCCTTATCGATTTCGTTATCAGCTTCAAACTTGTTTCATGCAAGTCTTCCATGTACATTACGTCTCTTCTGCCTTTTAGATAATCTTCAAATAATTAGTCTTACCTTGAACATAAGCAACTTCATTGTTGCTTCACTTATCGGTATTTCCTTAAAGAAATTCACAATGTTGTTGCTTTATTTGTATGTGTTTTTTATCCAGCCGATCTCACAGGAGTCCATCCACAAACATCACCATCGAACGAATGCAACATCGCATTGTACACACTTTCGCTCGGTACCTTATCTTATTTATTCTGAGCCTTTATCACATCTATATCGAATTTTGTAATTTGTACAATTGTTATTAAAGGAACGTTCATAATATACACGTAAAACCTTTTGAGTCATTACACAAGGAAATGTTAGTCATTTTGAGTTATAAATCATCTCGAACAGATCAAAAATGTTGAGTTATGTTTTTTTAGTTTTAAATATGTAATTTAAGACTACTTTTATAAATGAAAGAAACGTAAAAAATTGCGTTATTGCTTCAAGGAATATTAGTTATTTCGAATATTTCTAGCTGTAAATTTGTTATTTAGTTTTAAAACTAAATGTAAATATGTTTGCTTATCATAAATAAATAACTTGATGAATGTTTTTAATTGTTAAATTAAAAAATGCAAATGTTTCATATTTGTTTTTTTGTATTTCAGGAGAAACATAAGAAATGTGAATCTCTTCTGAATATGATGATGTATCGGCCATGTCTCAACCATGAAGTGAAGATAGAGGAGGAGGACGTGGAGGATGTCGATCACAGGATGGAGCGGGAGTACGTGAAGGGTCGCCTAAAAGTGGAGCCGGAGTTGCAGAGGGAGGAACCGGTGAAGATCAAGGTGAAGAGCGATGCGGATCTTCTGGCACGAAGGTCCGGGTCCCCGATGACCTCCATACAGGAGCCGACGGTATTGCCTTACAACATCATCCAAACCCGCTTCATCGCAGACAACTTGCCGCCACACTCGATCAGTCCATCCAGTCCCATCGAACCGGCCGACCTTTCCAGCCGGAAACCGGAAAACGTCACATGCGTGCCGGAACTGCCTGACTTCATCAAGGACGAAACAGACGCCGCCTCCGATTACAGTAACAGCTCGGATCCCGAGAGGCTCGAAGTCGACATGTCACAGGTATATACTTATAAAGAGAAACATTAAAATACTTAGATATAAAGCTCACTAGTAGTACGTATAGATCTTACTAATTGGTTTTGTCGTTTTCAGGGTATTGATGATCATTCGAACTCTACGACGAGATCGGCTCCGTCGCCGGCGAGTGAGCTTCCTCACAGTTCGGATAACACCGACTTCTGGCAGGCTTTCTCGCAGAACGGTCACACGTCAGCATCCCTTTCAGGTGAAGCCAGTCACTTACTTAGGAAGTTAATAAGTTGCAGGAAGCTGGGGATGACGATAACGCCGGCACCGCCGTATCCTGCGGACACCTTCGACCACGGTAAAGAGGCGAAAGGGTCCGCCGGTGGTGGCCGGAGGAAGCAGAGCTTCCCCACGAAAATGGAGCTGGACGACTCGAGCCCTTCGCGGCACGACCCCGAGGTTGAAACCGATTACGTCGGCGAGTTCAACAATACGGGCCCCTGGCAGATCGTGAAGAACGCTCGGGTAAACATCCAACCACCACCACCAACACCTAACTTTGTCAACTTGCAACTAACGCGTACTCCGCTTTCGTCCCAGGGGGCAGGAATGGCTCGCAGGATGGACCTGGCCTGCACGAACTGCGGCACCCAGACGACGACGATCTGGAGACGCAACATGAAAGGCGAGATGGTCTGCAACGCCTGCGGTTTGTACTATAAACTACACGGCGTCGACAGGCCGCACACGATGAGGAGAGACACGATACACACGAGGCGCCGGAGACCAAAAGGTTCGGATAATGAGAGAAATAACCGCAGTGAGTAGATTAGATGGCTTACTTACTTACTAACGCTACGATTTAGGGGTTGTCAAGGAAACTAAACAAGTTTTCCATTTTTGCAGAGTCTTAACCATCATTGCATCATTTGTTTAATGTTTTTCTTTTCATAGCAGCACCTTGGAAACTAAACAAAAGAAACATAGGTAGCTCAACCCCAAAAACATAAAACTTTATATTTGATTACTTACAATCACCAAATCAAATCCAACTTTTACACACATTTACCAGATTTTTTACAAAACCAACTTTTTATCGCATAAATTCAAGAAAATTAAAGCCTTTCCAATAAAGTAGATTTGTGTTTTGTATAGTTAAATCATCGAATATGCAAATTAAAACTATGATCTTTACACTTTTTCAAAATTATATACTTTGCGGTTATCATAAAATCGAAACGGATAGAAAATATCAAACTGCTTTACATACATTTTTCAAATCATATATTAGTCGTTATAGGCTGATTGACAACTTCAAACCTAAAGTCACAACTGAAAGTCACTAATATAAATTGCTAGTATGTAAATATTTGAAGCTCAACTAATTATGACGATCTGTCTTGTAGGTATAGCTCCGAAGAAGAACTCAAATAACAACAGCGGCGATATCACAGATACAGAAGACATGCTGACAGCACTCCGTAAACAGCTTCAACCGCACCTGGTGAGGGCTCTGACAGGAAAGAAAAATTTACAGCAGGTAAGGCTTCGAAGATGACATCCGAAATCAAGGCTTATTCTATGTTTCCATTCATTTCTAGGGTGTCACTACCTATTCGAAGTCGGTGAACAGCCAATCGCCGACGGAGACCGTCGAGATCGACTCCGAGGATGAGAACTACAGGGATCTTCCCCTGAACCTGGTGGCAACGCAGATGGCCGAAACGGAAACGCATTAATACCGGAATCCGCCATACAAAAAGAAAAACGAACAAAAGAATAAACGCTGAATATACAAAAAAAAAAACAAAACAAACATGAACAAAACAAAGCCGAGGAAAGGAAAGACTTTGCTCCTCCAACGCTCCCCGGACTTCTGAGATGTGTCTTTCTCATCTCGCTCTGATAATTTCGCACCCCTCCAAGAAAGAATCAATACAAAATACTTAATTCGGTATAATATTTTTGTAGCAATAGGAGGAAAGAACCTACACTAAGAAAGTAAGAATTGTGCTCTCTAATTATATTATATAAATGTATAATACATATAGTATATATATATATTTTTAAAAAAACGACGGAAAAAAAGTACTTATTAAGATAACGATAATAATAAGAATGGAGAAAAAAAAATGAAGATGATGTTGGAGACGACTAAAGAAAATACTCAAGTGCAAGAATCAAAAGAAAAAAAAGGAACGAACAGGAAAAAAGAATTGTTTAATTCGTGGAAAGGAATGGAAAAAACAAAACTTAATAATCACCGATTGTGATATTTATCATGCTATAATAAGTATATATATATAATAATTTAACCCCGCTCCCCCTGTTTACGTATTTTTTTAAATTGTTATTGAAAGACGACTCCCCCTTTCAGACATACACACAGACAAGCACGAAGAAAAGAAGCACCCTTTTTTTTATTTAATTTATTATATACCTTAACGTTTCTTTTCGTACCATTACCCCCCCAAAAAAAAAAACTTTACAAAGAACAAAACTTAAGAAAGAAAGAAAAAAACACCGCTTATTTATGCCAGTACCTTAAATATGTATACACACACGTCTTTATATATTTTGTTTCTTTTCTTGTTTTGTTTCTTACTGTATATCTTCTAAGTGAAACACACTACTCATTGGCGAATACTCAGTATTTTTTTTGTTTGTTTGTTTAATTATTTAAATTATTACTATTTTTACTTTTTAAATAACTATTTTATATTTCTGTTTGATTTGAAAACGCTTTTTTTTCTATTGTAACGAAGGAAAACATTTCTAATCGGATGCTGTTTGGCTGTACGAAACGTAACCAGTATGAACAAAATCTGTTGATTTTGTCGACAAAAGATTTGAAGAATTATTTTGTATGCACTTCAACAAACCAAGTTTATAGGATTGAATTATCACCGCCTTTCACTGTTGAACTAATTTATTTACTGTGTTCTGAAATATTGTATAGAAATTAAGTTTTTCTTCATTTGTATATTAAAATTTCTCGTTACAAGCGATTTATTAATTTAACGTTCTGAAATATCAAAAAAAAAACTGAAAGAAATTCAACTAAAATAAACATTATTTTTTTTCAATATTTCTAAAAAAGTTGCATACAAAAATCTTCGACTTATATAAAAGTATTCATAACACGTACTTAACTAAACAATTATTATTAACGCAGCAAATAGCATTCGAGCGTTTCACCCGAAAGAGAAAAAAAACACAAGTATTTATTCGAACTTTTAAGATCTAAATTATTCAGTATTAGAAAACCTCAAATTCAAAACAAAACATTATTTTTTTTTCGGTGAAATTCAACGCAATCCCCAAAAACCAACTCTTTTTTTCTCTTAATATATATATATATTATTTTTTTTGTATAATTAATGTGACCAGTAATTAAAGTATTAATTTTTTTTATATATATTATTATTATAATTATATTATATATATATATACCAGTGTTTAAAGTACATTGTACATATTTTTTTTAAGTACTAAACAAAATTGTCTGTTGGAAAACGTTGTTTTTTTCCGTTTGGTGTCTTTGATTATTATTCTACTTATTGAAAGGAAAGAAAAAACAAAACAAATTGTAAGCGCGATGGACAAGGAGGAGAACAGTAAGCATTATTTGTACTACAGTTTAAGTTTAGGTTGATTATTTTGTACACAAACAATATGTGAAAGTATTCTTTTGTTTGTAGCTTGTGAGATCGACTCTTTTTTTTTTGTTTATGTAAGCCTTCTATTTCTGTTGCTCTCCCTCTGTCTAATATTTTGTTTTTTTTTATTTAAATGTATCAATTGCGTAATCTCATTTTTTTATACACTTTTGTTGTCGCTTGTTTTTTTTTAATTTGTTTTTGTTGATAACGTAACCAATGATATTACGTTAGATTATTGTCAAATAGAAAATCGCGCGAAATTCGAATTTATCCACAGTTAAATATTAATATAATTTGTATAAATATTCTATTATTCTGATGCAAGGACAACGAAGTTTCGTATCTCTGGTTTGGGCATGAACGCACGCAGAAAAAAAGAAACGTAAAGGAGCAAACCTGGATCAAATTTCGATTTCACCCAGCGCACTCAGTTTATTTAAGTAATTACGTAACTTTCTCTTATTATTATTATTTTTTTTATTTAGTTATTAGACTTTTATTATTATTTTTTTTTTATATATAAACACACACTTTTTCTTAATTTTGATTTTCCATATAAACGGAAGAGAAAAAAAAAATTAATGAGTAGTATTAACCAAGCGAGTGATATTTAACATTATTTAACATATTTTTTTTTTGTAATTTAATTATTTTTTTTAACTTATTATTATTTCGTACCCAAAATCAGTATTGTATACGTTTTTTTTTATATATATGAGAAATACTTATGATAATAATAAGCCGAATGCCTTAGACGTTTAGTTTAATTTAATTAATATCTGTATGTCATCATGTCTGTAGTTTGTTTATTTTCTATATTTTTTATTAACTGTATTTAATTCTTTTTTTTTTTGATTACATCATCGGCAGCTATGATTGTCCTGAAAAGAAAACAAAACAATTTAACTGTGGAGAATATAAACTCATTCAAAAACACAATATACATACACACACACACACTCGAAAAAAAGAAGAGCTTTAATTTTTGTTGCTACAATCTCAGGTCGTTTACTATTTTTTTTTGTCCCTCCCTCAAGTTTTTTGTTTTTGTTACTTCTTTTCATTTATTTGACACGTTTTTCTCTCTATTTCCATCGTTGTTTGTTTGTTTTGGGTAATTTGTGATACATTGAAACATATTTTGTGAACCAACTGCGCGCGTATTGTGGACAAAAGAAAGTGTAAATTATGATTGGTTTTGATATGAAGGAAGAACAAAAAAAACGTACGAAAAAACAATTTGAGACAAAACGAAGAAAAAAATATATAATAAGTATGTTGTAACTTAATATTATTATTCTTAACAAACCTGCTAATACTGTTAAAGTATTTTTTTAAGAAATAAAAACATGGCTGCTATTCGACATTCTCTTCCTCTTTATACTCTCTTAATCTCACACACTTCATTACTACTCTCACACGTACACGCACATTGAATCGCATACTGTTTTCTTATGGAATGATAAATGTTTCTGTTTTCTCTTTCATTTCTTTTATTTTCCGAGGAAATTCAAGACAACTTTATGTTAAAATGTGTAGTCCCCTCGGAGCCACCGTTTCGCATCCTTTGTATCGTTCCCATAAGTCCTACCAAATCTGAAAAAAAAAATTATTAAGAAATCAAACTTTATTTTAAGTATATATATTATATAGTGATTTTTTTTTGTATTTTGTACTGTTTTTTTTTTCATTTTTTTTTGTATTATTTAATTTGGAATAAAGAACGAAAAGTTTTTGTATGGTAATTGAACAATCGCGGTATGTCGAGTATTTATTTAAATAAAACGTGAAAAATCGGTATAATTCAGTCAATTATGTAACAATAAAATTCTCAACTTTGACAGCTTATTACAAGCAAATTTGCCAGTAGGCTCATTGGAAAGGTCATAGTTTAATCTTTTATCAGCATGATTTAAGTTTTAATTAGTATTCGTGATTATTGAGTAATTAAATAAACTATATTTACCCGGCGCATCCACCCAATTTATGTTGGTATATTAAATCTTATTTATTTAGATTTTTCAAAACTTTTACTACTTAATTTCATTAATTATACTAATTGTATTTGTAGTTCATCAATTTATTACATTTCAGAGAATCTATCAAAAATTTAATGATTTAAAAATCTAATTTAATCAATTAAGAAAAATAAACATATTTACTTAAATATCGCGTTTTTTTGTCAATATAAAACTTCTGAAAGCAATAATAATAAGTATTTTACAAATAAAAATTGACTAAACAACTTGTGGATGCGCCGGGTTAATTCAAGTATAGCAACCACATAAACACTAGCGCTCGCAACGCGATACTAAGTTACTTGTATTAATCTAAGTACATCATATTTCAACAAGTACTTTGAAAATAATGATGAAAACGCAAGTACTTGCAAAGTTATTTATAATCATTGAAACAACGTAAGTCCTGAAAAATCTACAAGATTACTAACTTTTTCTTTTGGAAATAATAAATTATAAGTATCGAATTGTTTCTATTAATTATAAAAATCTATTAATTAACTCATTTTCAATAAATTTTTCAATTTTCCAATTTTCGATATACAATATATAAATACTCCTATGATATAAACATAAAATAGATGCAATCATTCAGTGATATTTGAAATGATGCAAACAATCATTCATAAATTTGTTAAAGAAGTTGCATACATATGAATCAATCATCAAATAAGATTTTAATGCGCGTAGCATAAACAAATTGCAAATCCTTAACACTTTATCTTCTTTGTTTGCTTTTTCTTCGGCAAATTTGAAACCAACAATTTCTTTACCCCTTCTTTTATCAGAACGCAAAGCCGATAAGACTACCAACACTGCTTCTTCTATTTTAACTTCCAACACACCAGAATCTCTCTTTTTTGCATCCGTTACCCAGTTTGTTTTCATACGCGATAAATAATTTCACCAACTTTTTTGTTTCAAAACAATATTTATACTACAATAGAAATTCAATCTCCGCTTCAGTAGTATGTTGATTTAGTGAAACGAACTCACGTGCTTCAACCATGTACCCAAATATACTCTCAACTCTTTTCTTACTCAGGTAAGACAATTTCTGTACAACAATTTTGACAATTTGTTTAAATACAATTTGCAAGTAAAGTAAAAAGTTTTCGTTTCGTTTGAATCGAGTTGACGGTCCCATATTTGGCTCGAGTATTTTTGCGGTTTGGGACGGAAAAAAAAATAATAAAAGTAATGAAAGAGAAAGAAAAGGATAATTATTTTAATTCGACGCACCTGAAGATTTCGCCTGGAATGTGTCCGGAGTAGTTGGGAACTTGTCCGATGTGTCTGTAATAAATCGTGCTCGGTTGTATGATGAGCGGCGGATCTGCTGCTACGAAATTCAGCGGCGTCCATTCGGTGCCCAAGCGGCTTCTGTTGTCTGCGGTGAAGCCGGTGAGGACGCACCTCATCTGCGATTCCTTGGGCCGAGCCAAGGAGGAGTTACGCAACGGAATTTGGGCACTGAAACCTTAACAACAACAAAAGGTGGATAATTAATAGTTGATAATTAGCTAACTACTTACGGTATCTTTGCTGCTGCGCGAACGAATTATATAAACGGTCGTACATTTTGATTTCTAAACTGACGGATCATCTATTTTTGACAAAACTTGACGCGTCTAGGACAAGGTTTCCTAGCTTTCACGTTCGACGCTTTTATTGTTTCGATGAAGTCGTGTACGGTAATTGTATCCAAGGCGATGTGCCCAATATCCCTAAAGTTACTGCTCAAAGCTTCTTCAGCAACCTCCTCTTCGCTTTCATCAACTACAACTTCTTTGACGCTATCCTCGCTACTTTCTATCGAAGAATAAGTTGAGTTAGTTGAAAATGAAACTAACTCAACCTCTTCTTCGACAACTTCTTCTTCGCCAACATCTTCATCTTCCGACAAGTCAATTTTGCTACTAGGATAAATCACTTTGTAAGCTTGAGAACTAAGCTTGTAATCATCCCCATAAACTATATCCAATAGAGTCGTATCAACTTTATCTTCGACTTTACGCAATTTCTTCTTGGTTTTACTAATCACTTTGTATTTAGCGTATTCCCGATACCACCTCATCTCTTCAACACTTAATTTCTGGTGCTCCCTAACTTTAACCAGAATTTGACTTCGCTTTTTCTTATACTCCACGAAATTGCGACACCAATCGCTATCATTGAAATCCACGTTATCTTCGGTTTTTAAACTCTTCGCGAAAACCATCTCCCTCAAATCCTTCACGGATAAACTAGCTATCGACGATGCGTTCTCCAAAGCGCTCTCTTGCCATTCGGGTTCCATACCTTTCAGGAGCTTTTTCGACTTTCCGCGCCATCTAGTCAAGTTCGAGTAAAATATATTTTCAGGATCCAGATACGCTTTATTGCCTTCAGCGTTTCCATGCCACAATCGCCCATCCGCATCCACAAGCACCAATTCATCCACCAATTTGTTCTTAGCGAATAATCCGTGGATTTCCATCCCGTTCTTCAAAATGTAAGTTCCAGGACCGCTGTACTTGTTCCTCACCAAACGTCCTTTAAACTCGGTCGCATCTCCGTAATTGATCTTCACCTCGGTGTTATCCTTGATGCGATCGTCCTTCCAAATGCCATCGTAAACGTGACCATCCTTGGAGCGATAAACGCCTTTTCCTTCGCGCCAAATCAAACCCTTCCTGTGCGCCCAATACTCACCAAAGTATTTGTCTCCGTTGGGCATCCGGAACCCATCCACACCTTTATAGAATTCCGGAAGGCTTTTCTTCGAGGATTTCGAACCCTTCTGCGCTTTTCTCGAAGATCGCGGCATCGTTGAGGAATTAATAAAACGCACTTTTGTAATTTAGATGTTCCGACATTATTTATTGATTTTGACATTTAATCCTAGTGCACACGTCCATGACAGGGCAGATGTCCTTGTCGTCCGATTTGATGGTGTTAAGGAAATTGTAAATAGAAATCGTATCCAAGCCAACGCTTTCAGCTGATCTGATGCTAATAGGAGTCAATTCTTCCTCAACTTCGCTTCTCCTACTTTCCTCCAACCATTCCTCACATTCCTCGTAATAATCCTCGTTAAACACATACTCCAATTGCTCTTCCTGCACAGATTCTTCCTCACCTACACCGTGGTCAGAATAATTAGTTGGGTAAATGACTTTGTAAGGAACGGAGCTTTTAATGTAATCCGGCCCATAGTAAATATCCAACAAGGTAGTATCAACCTTCTCCTCGATCTTAGGCAACTTCTTCTCTTTGGTAACCTTCTTGTATTTAGCGTAAGTCCTATACCAATTCATCTCGCTCTTCGTTAGCTTTTGATGACTTCTAAATTTATTCAATATGTATTCCCTCAACTTCTTATACCTTAAGAAACTCTGATACCAATCGCTCTTACAATAATCGATGTTTCTCCGAGTTTTGGTGCTTTTCGCGAAGATCAACTTCTCCAAATCCTCATCGCTCATTTTCGTAATCAATGATAGCGTAGCTTCATCTGGTTCCTTCCATTCCGGTTCCATCAGCTTCAAAATATTCTTCGATTTTCCCCTCCATCTGGTCACGTTCTGATAGAAAATGTTTTCCGGTTCCAAATACGCTTTTTTTTCTTTCGCAACGCCATGCCATAATCTACCATCAAAATCCACGAGGATCAAGTCATCTTTGAATTTGTTGTTTTCGAACTGTCCGTGGATTTCCATTCCGTTCCTCAGGATGTACGTACCCGGACCTTTGTACTTGTTCTTCAGGAGTGAACCTTTGAAGGTTGTTCCGTCGTAATAGGTGATCATCACCGGCGTTCCGTCCATCAGCTTGTCGTCTTTCCATCTTCCTTCATAAGTTTGGTTGTCTTTAGTGTGGTAGATACCTTCGCCTTCTCGCCAGATCGATCCGCTGCGATGCGCCCAATAATCCCCGATGTACTCGTCTCCGTTCGGCAATTTAAACGTATTCGTCCCATTGTAAAATTCCACAACGTTTTTCGTTTCCTTATTTTTGCCCTTTTTCGAACCCTTCGATTTCTTCGATTTTTTCGATGACATTTCGTCCAAATTTGACAAAACTTACTACGTTTTCTTGATCTATTAAACCTACTAATCATTACAAATAGTTTATACTTGTATTTAAACAAATTACTTGGCAAGTATCACGTACTTACATACACATTACATTATTGTAATTGTTTAAAAATAAATTTAAATAGTATATTAATACAGTGATTTTTAATTTATAGGCATAAAATTGTGGCGTTTCGAAAGGTATTCGTCCCATTGTAAAATTCCACAACGTTTTTCGTTTCCTTATTTTTGCCCTTTTTCGAACCCTTCGATTTCTTCGATTTTTTCGATGACATTTCGTCCAAATTTGACAAAACTTACTACGTTTTCTTGATCTATTAAACCTACTAATCATTACAAATAGTTTATACTTTATTAAACAAATTACTTGGCAAGTATCACGTACTTACATACACATTACATTATTGTAATTGTTTAAAAATAAATTTAAATAGTATATTAATACAGTGATTTTTAATTTATAGGCATAAAATTGTGGCGTTTCGAAAGTATTCGTCCCATTGTAAAATTCCACAACGTTTTTCGTTTCCTTATTTTTGCCCTTTTTCGAACCCTTCGATTTCTTCGATTTTTCGATGACATTTCGTCCAAATTTGACAAAACTTACTACGTTTTCTTGATCTATTAAACCTACTAATCATTACAAATAGTTTATACTTCTACTTAAACAAATTACTTGGCAAGTATCACGTACTTACATATACATTACATTATTGCAATTATTTAAAAATAAATTTAATTAGTATATTAATACACTGATTTTTAATTTATAGGTATAAAATTGTGGCGTTTCGAAATCTAACTAATTTAATTATTGGTTTTCAAGAACGAACACTTTCATTTTATTTAATGACTATTTTTTTTGAAAATAACAAATTTTTCACTTGTATTTGATTTTTTTATATACTTATAACAGTTGTTCGAAAATGTAAATTTAGAAAAGAGAAATAAATATATATGTGCGTAACATTTATGTCAAAACTAATCATAATCATCGTGTTTCTCCTAGACTTTAACGACTTTTTAATGCTTTTAACACATTTATGCTAAAAGTAATTAAAATTCATCAAATAAACAGTTTTCACTACATTAATGTAAATATAATTAAAATAAATAATAAAATTTTATTTTTTTTCTTTAGATTAAAAATTAGAAATAAAAATAATATTTGCGTTTATTATAAAAGTATTTTATAATAAACCTCGCATAGTGCGGGTAATTGGTTCCGTAGATATAACGGACTGTTTGAAATCGGATTAATTGAGGATTTTAAGGAGACAAAAAATCAAAATAAATTTGTCTACAAATGATTTTTATTTTGATCAATGAAAATATAATGAATCTGGAATAATCGAAGCCGCACTGTGCGGGATATTGCTGTATAATATTAATCTATAGTAAATATATTGAACGAAAAAAGTAAATTTGTTAAAATTTTATTAGAAATAGTTTTTTTTTGTACTTATTAAAAAATATGATCAATTTAAGTTTTTTTTACTCAAATAATTTTGTAGAAACGCTACTAGATAACATTTCTACAAAATTATTTAGATATTTCTTTAAATCTTATAATAAAAATTAAAATTTCATTCATGTTTTCTTTTGTTGATTGTTCAATATAAAAGTGCTGGGTTTATACCATGATGAGTCAGCTATGATTCACAATAACAAATATCATTGTTACAATTACTCTACATTTTAGAAGTTTTCAAGTAAAAAGTTTTTTCAGTATCGGAAGTCTCAATGATATTTCATTAGTTTTCTTAATGATTTATATCATTTCTGGATTAGTATGAGACACTGTAACATTCTTAATTTTTGGTTTTGTTGTTAAATGTATTTATTTTTAAATTAATAAAACTTAAGTTTTGATCAATATTCTATTGTCGTGTCCAGCGATTCAAATATCTCTGGTTACTGTGGAATATCTCGTAGTTATGTCATTGTGGAGTCATAGTAGAATTTTTAAGGAATGCTAGAGGTGAAGTTGGAGTTTTTTTATGATAATAAACACTTTATTATTCTCTATAAGATTATTAATAACTTTTATGTCCAGATTCATGTTGCTAGGTTTGTTACTAGGGTTTGTATGAGTCTAACTAGGACTCGGGAGGACTCTCCACTAAGACCAAAACTAACTTGGACTAGCGACTAGCTAGGATTAGGACTTGGATTCTGACTCTTTAGAACTCTCCTTGTATTACATAAACATCCTGTTATATAGTAGTGAATTAGCATAGTTACAATAGTTATTAAGAATAGTCGTTACACAATGATTAGTTATGGGATCTTCCTAACTAGTATTTGTACTAAGTCATAATATAAACAATAACGGTTATACATAACACTATAATATTCTTTGAAACCTTCGATTGTTTTCGATGAAATTACGTCCAAATTTGAGAAAAATTAATACGTTTACTTGATCTATTGAATTTACGAATCATTACATGATATTTACTTAATGTCAAATATCAAAGTTTATAATGATATTTATATAATGTTTTGTGATGCCATTTCTAGTCAAACTGTTGTTAAATGTATTCATGTTAAATTAAAAAAAAAAAACTAAGTTTTGATCAATATTCTATCAATTTTAAGTTCCAAAACATTTGTATTTAATCGTAGTTCAATGAAACATTTGTACTTTGTAGTAGTTGAATGAAAAATAGTAGATTTACTTATGTCTCAATATTATTTTTTTTTTAAATTAATAGACTGTCAACTTAACATATTGCTTTTATTTTTTTTGGATATGTTACGTTGGAAGTTGATTTTGGATATGTGATGTCGTGATTTTGATCGTTGTGAGTGCGGCTTCGTTACCTTTCCCATTGTGAGCGAGACTTCGATATCTTTGATCTTGTCCGCAACATCTCGCTCTGGACCACACCCACAACACACAACTCTTTCACTCTAAACCACGTTCCAACAGCTCTCGACCTCAGACTCGTAGGAAAAATGAAGAAAAACAAACGTTAGACTAGAAGACTCTCGAGCAGCACTCGCGAGGAGGAAGGAGGAAAATCGAAAAGCGAGACGATGATTAAGAGAGAGAGAGAGAGAAAGAGAGAAGAGAACGCATTACACGTAATAATAGTCCTGATGTTATGTAACTTTCCACCCGTTCGGGTTCCCCTTATATTTGTACGCTTTGTTCATTCTTTTGTTATCCGTATTTGTTTTCTTCCACCGGTCTCCACCTTCGTTTCAATTTTTCTTTTGCGGTTTTAGAAGCGATTAATCATGCGCCTGATAAATAATTCAGTGCGCAAAGCTCGAAATCACGAACTTACCGAGAAGTTGGGAAATTTCGCTCCGTGAATTTCGAAACTGAAAACAAAACAAAAATTTTTGCTATTTGGGCTGCGAAATTTCGAACGGGATGCCGGAAATTCCCTCCACTGTTTGCTCGAGGACCTAAGATTATTGTGGGGAGAGAGAAAAAAAAGGAAGAACGGAAGGCAAATGGTTTTACGACTTATGGCATTGTAATAAAACTCCACAATCCTCTCGGATAGTGCAAACAGACCACCCAACCAAAAAAAAAAGGGCAGCCCCAAAAACAAACCCTTTTTACACCTACGTGAGGCTCGGTTCTCTCGACGGCTTCAATAACAATAACAATGCCAAAAAAGAAGAGAGATAAAAGCCGCTTATTGCTTAATTTTAAGCTGAAGCTGTTGTTTGTTCAAAATTGTGCTTCAAGTGATTTCCAAATTTTGGGCATGGTCGAATTCACGTTTAGAGAGATTTTCGTACTTTCCGACTTATCGTAATTGTATTCAGATCCTCTTTGCGATGTGCCATCATCATTGCTCATCGGGATCAGCTCGTGTGCATGCTTCTCGCTCGTTTTCTTGAGGTTTTTTGTGCATGACTTTGGGTTTCCATTGTTGATTCAATTACACTTTCTATTCAACCTCTTCAATTACTTTTTATTCAATAACACATTGTTGTCCCCCTTTTTTTCACACGTTTATTTTCATGATTTCATTGATTTGCTTTTTCTTATTTACTGATTGATAAAATAACTAAAAGAAATCAGCATATCTCATTTATTAATTATCAATATTTAGACCTAAATATAATCATTAGAAAACACTTCTGACGTAATCATAAAACATATATAAAAAAAGATTTACAGTTTACTAGTAAAATTTAAAAACAAATTGATAAAATTACTAAATCTTCATTGTTTATTACCATAACGTACAAAATGAAAGAGATATATCCGTTAACTGTAATACGTATTACTTTTTATTGTAATCTTAAATATATTTAAAGTTTAATAATTTAAGATTTAGTATGTAGAATTTAAAAAAATATATATGACGTTTTTGAAATTCTTTGAAATTTTTCGAAAAAAATTCGATATAGTCGGGATTTTGATACAGTCGGGATTATGGTTGTCGAGATTGTGATACAGTCGGGATTATGTTTGTCGAGATTTTGATATAGTCGGGATTTCGATATAGTTTTTGAAATTCTTAGAAATTTTTCAAAAATTATGTTTGGTAGATAATTCTCAAAATGTTAAGATAAAATAGACACGTAATGAAAAACCCTTTAAAATGAAATTATCAAAAAACATTAGATTTTCTAATTGCAGAAAAAAATGAAGACATTCCATTTACAAACTAAAATTTGATTGAGCATTTTTTATAATTTATTACATGAATATGATAAAAAAAAACAACTTGATGTTATTAATATGTTCATTATTTATTCCTTAGTTGTTTTTTCTTTAATTTGAATATTCAATAATCTAATTAATGTTCGTTGATTATCGAGTAATTAGATAGATCGTAAAGATAATGCATTTTCAACTTATTATAGAAAATCAGAAAATTCCACAAATCTCATTTCAAAGACCATAGTTTTATCTTAAATTTACATCTAATGCCATCTAATTAGTGTGTGTGTGTGTGGTTATCGAGTAATTAGATGAAATGAGAAGACGTTAATAAATGATTGAAAAATCTCAATATCTTAGTCATTAATTAACGTTACGTAACATTAGTTATATGAAAATATGTGATTTAGAAGCTTTCTTCTGATGTAATCATTTTTATATATATATAAAATAAGTTTTCAGTTATTTTTATTTTATAAAATATGCAAATCTTATTAACTTAGTTGTTTTTCTTAAATGAAAAAAAAAATAACTATTAATGAATAAGTGCAGAAAATGTTGTTTCTTTTAGTGATTTTGTTATTAAATCAATATAACTGAAACTAATTTTGTAATTGATTGAACTTAATAGTATTATATTTCATGTTGTATTGATTTTGTTATTATCTTCCTTGTACTTCAGAGAAAAGTTGAACTTTGCTTTAGTTGTATATATAATACGTGCAACATTTGCATGTATCATTTTGAATTTTCTTAATAAATTTGTAAACTTAAGTGAATTCAGATGAAAAGTAACTTAAAAAACCTGATTTAAATTTGCTACATCTTGTCTAATATTTTTCAAATTCTGTAATCTTCAATTAATTTAGATTATGTAATTCTTCTATCGAGTTATTTTTGCAGCATCTCCATGTATCGTTTTGTATCTTGAATTTTCTTAATAACCTTGTAAATTTAAGTGAATTCAGAATGAAGATGAAAAACAAACAGTTTTTAAGCCTTGAATCTGAATTCAGATCATTTAACTTGTAAATTGTATTGTTACAATCAATTGATCTGCATTTTATGCAATAAATGTGATGTGTTTAATGATGCGTTTCTTTCGGTGTTCCGAACAAAAAGCTACTTGCAGGAGATTGCAACTCTGATCCAATTAGATGCGAAACAAAGGATCGTAGTGACACGATCCTCGTTGCAGAGTTTTTTTTGAATGAAACAGCCTGTTGCGTAAGGTCCGCGCGGATTCCTTGAATGGAGTGCCGAAGGAGTGTGTCAAAACAATTGATGTACGAAATGTGTGCATGGCGCGCGCGAAAACGAAGGCACGAGCAAAACGAAAGAAGGGCATAAATAACGCGAAAGGCAAACAGACCGAAAAGCGAACGCGTGTATATCGAGAGAGGAGAAGGATGATGAGGCTAAAGATGGAAAGAAAGAAGGAGATGAAGATGATGGTAAAAAAGAGTAATAATAAGAGATGAAGGAGAAGAATAAGGATAAAAAGGAGCTGTATATGAAGAGCGTTTCGAGTGCCGCCCACAATCCATCAGATAGATCATAGAGAGCGAGCGCGGATGGTACCTTCGTGGTGGCGGTGGCGGCGGCGATGGCGATGGTACCATCATCGCTGCCGCAGTGGCCATACCAGCTACTACTACCAACCGACGACTAACCAAGCGATCCGCGGCCAGGGTAGAACCATTCGGTACCATCGGCTCCGAGCAGAAGGAGAAAGTGAGATAAACGTACGCGAAGTGGTCAGATCGAGGGAGATAGATAGTTCGGAGATGGATGGAGGTATGGTGGCCCCCGCCTTCCCCACCGACGCATCCACAGGTGCCACCTGAACAGCGCCTGTACCTGTTCGGAGTGGTTCTATGGTTCAGTGTGACCGCGACCGTCGTCAAAACGCACGCCACGCGTTGTTCCTTCCTCCTGCCGCAACACAACACAATTCATTCAATACAAACGAAAATTATCAGAAATTGCGTAAAGCAACCCTAAGTTTGCAAAAACACTCTAGTGCGATAAACTATAAATAAACCATTGAACCCATGTGGTACTGTGATCAAGGTGCGCTTTGGATTAAGGACTACACACTAAGCATTTGCAGCACCGGACGAAGACTAATTCCAACTTGAATGTTTTATGGTAAATATTGTATGTGCGTGCATGTGTGTGTTTTTTTTGTCTTAAGTTTCGCGGGGTCCTGCGGGGGTCAAAGGGGGAGAAAGGCGCGAACCCAGCAAACGCTTCATTACCAGGCCCGTACATATTGGAAATATTTAATTGTACGCGCGCAATTTCAACATGCACAAGAGAGAACCTTCAAGGTTCCGCGTCGACTGTAAATCCTTCGATCCTTCTATCCGCGTACATTCGAATCTCGCGCTCTTTTCATACAGATTACATCTCAAATCCGGATCAAAAGTAACTTTTAAATAACACATTTAATATTTTTCGAATTCTGTAATCTTCATTTAAATTCAAATCTCAAATTAGGATTAGATATACTTTCTAATAAGGTTTTAAGAATGCAAGAGAAGACTTTAAATTTTACTTCCGAATTCACTGCAAATCAGGATTAATAATTTCTTAATTTTGTTTCAAATTCGAATTTAATTGCAAATCTGTATCAGAAGTAATTTATTTATAAATAACGCTTTTAATCTGCAATAAAAGTTTGCGACTTCTTCTGATTTTTTCTTTAGTCTCGACATTCTTTGATCTTCAATTTACGATCAATAAAGCGCGTTGATTTAAGGCCCGATGAGGACTTCTTCTGCGCTCCTCCTCCTCCGACGGCTAAGCCATTTCTAACCGAATCCACGTGAAGAAAAGGATCAACGCCGTTTTAATGGCTTCCACCATATACTTTATCAAAATGCTCTCGGTATCGCTTTCTACAGGTTTATGTTGCTGTTTAATTGATGATTTTTTTTTATATTGATGACCTATACTTTGTATCCTACTTAGAACTTTAATGTCTTCTACTTTGTATCTATTGATCCATTTGGAAGATGCATTAAGAACTTCTACTCATGTGGTCTTTACTCCAAATATATAAAACCAATTTTGTTAAGCTTAGCAACCAAAAGTTTGTTGCGTGTGGTACTTTCTAAGTTTACAGTTTCTCTGCATATGATCATTTTTTTAAGATAAATATTACATACAAGGTTTAATAACATTTTAGCTTGTTACTAGTAACCTCATGTGCACTTCACACCTAATATAGTAATATTACAGCGCTTACTCTCAACACTAAGTTTTCAGATTTTACAAGAAAATCTGTTTTTATTTGAAAGTTCAGACACAGTTAATAACTAAAGCTAATAAATTTGATAAAATGCATAATAATAAAAAAAAAGTGTTTCAGAAAATATTCAAGTTTATTACTAAGGTGATTTTAATAACATTAAAGTTGATTTTAAATTTGATCAAGTGGATTTTATATAAAATAAAAATTTAAATAAATTTTATTACTTTTTGAAGACCAACAAATTTGGTTTTATTACCGTATGACATTCTTGACGCTGAAAATAGTTGAAAACAAAAATGAGCGTATTTATAAATTTGAAAGTCAAGAATCCTTACTACCTTAAGTAAACGTAGAAAATTTTAGATTAATATCTTGTTTCGACATAAAACGCTAAGGAAATCGTTAAAAAGTCAATAAAATTAAGAATTCGAGGAATTCATTCTACGTTTAAATTGTAATTAAAATATCAAGTAGGTTAAATATGCACACTTTGATTTAATTAATAAAAAAAATGAAACTAGAAATGTTTTGTACTTTCATACTTTTTTATAGAATTAACGTGCAAAGTTAATTGATGTAATAAGTCGAACCTTGCAAAACGTGGAATTAATATTTCTTTGGTGTGCATAACCTTTCGCGATCGTTTCCACCGGCTATTTGAATGCGAGGTTCGCAAGACCCATATAATTGATTTGTAATATGTCAAAAGTCAAATATGCATGAAATATTGTTAAATATTTGGTTATTTCAAAAATAGATTGAAATTACATTGAAAAATATCAAATTTCATTCACAAAAGTTAAGCAATTTCTTTAGTGGACACTACTTGGATGGGCTAAAAATTAAGAAATAAATTAAGATTATTTATGTCTTTAGTCATTTATGAGAGAAATAGATTGAAATTACAATGAAAAATATCAAATTTCAATCACAAAAGTTAAGCAATTTCTTTAGTGGACATTACTTGGATGGGCGAAAAATTAAGGATATTTATGTCTTTAGTCATTTATGAGAGAAATAGCTTGAAATTACATTGAAATATATCAAATTTCAATCACAAAAGTTAAGTAATTTCTTTAGTGGACACTACTTGAATGGGCGAAAAATTAAGAAATAAATTAAGGATATTTATGTCTTTAGTCATTTATGAGAGAATAAACACATTATTTAAAAAAACAAAAACAAAATTTTTAACTTCCGGTTTTTTGACATTTATAAATCATATTTAGTCTTAAAATAACAAAATCGGAAACCAATTTAAAAAACATGTTTTTTTTTTATAGTAATTCATACATATTTTTAAGTTGCTGTCATCTAATTTAAATGAATTAAAATAATTTGACGTGATTTTTGACTGACATTTCACATTCTCCTCTTACAACATTGAACCACATTTCTAAGTTTTCGGCCACGCAACCTTGGATCTGGGAACGTTAGCCTTTGGTTAATTTATTTTACCAAAGTCAATTTAATAGAAGAGAGCCAACAAAAAAAAAACACGAACGGACAGCTTTGTATATTATAAATATATATGTTTATAGGAATCGAAAAAAAAAGAGAAGTTGTGATGCAATCACATCATTTTCGGAATTTTAATTGAAATTCGTATAGGAAATCGATATGACCTACTATGTCAAATGTCAAATATTAATGAACTAGATTATGGATTTTTTTGATTTCTATACTTTTACTTACTAAAAAATATAAACAAATTAAAAAAAAACAAGTTGAATTATGTCATAGGCTTTAAAATTTAATTATTTTGTTTGTATTTATTTATTTTTTTTATACTATTTTTGTTTATCTAATGATGATTAGTAATTAATTAACATAATTTACTTTAAATAATTAAAAAATGTTTTGCATATTTCATTTGCATTTGGAGCTACTTCAATGCAAATGCGAGCCGTATCCTTTGTTTCCATGGTTTTATTATTACTGAATGGATAAGCGAGTGCTTTCGATACTTTTACTTACTAAAAAATATAAACAAATTTAAAAAAATACAAGTTGAATTATATCATAGGCTTTAAAATTTAATTATTTTTTTTGTATTTATTTATTTTTTTTTATACTATTTTTGTTTATCTAATGATGATTTGTAATTAATTAACATAATTTACTTTAAATAATTAAAAAATGTTTTGATTTTTTTATTTATCTTATCAAAATTGAAGATTGTGTTATAATAGATATTAGTGATAATGCACATTCAAGCATCAAATTAATTTGAAAGTTTTTAATTTTAAAAAAAACGTGAATTAAGTTGGTCACTCTTTAACTAAATATAGGAAATTACTGAGACGCCATCTATCTTTCTGAAATTGAAGTTCTTGATATTCTAAATAGACGATGTGACAGTTCACGTCAGTCGCTTCGGATTGATGAAGCTAATTAAAGCCAGTTTCAAAGTGTTTTGACTGTGGGCAATTACTTTGAAATGCTTTTTAAAAAAAAATACACAGTTTTAAACGATCCGTGCGGCGTTGCCAATTACGTAAGAGCGCTCGGCGAGAAATCAATTTCGGCTTTCTATTTCCGATCGAGGCTTTTGTTTGAGTCCGTCGTTTCATCTGTTCGTTGTTTTTTTTTTCGTTCTTCCCATTTTGCCGCAGTAATAAAATCGACTCTCCTAAATAATAATAGGAGGCAATCGTAAAAGTAATTTTGCGTGCACGCCGTTCGCGCCTCCATCTTGGTCACGCCGAGCGCCCACGTTTTACAACCGCTCGTGGTCGAGATTTTTGCCCTCCTCAACATTCCCCGTTCGATCACCATTCCGATCACCCTATTCATCGAATTCCGCTTCCGGATAGAATTGTACTTCCGCTATTTTTGAATTTCCCGCTCTCCGTATTTAAAAATTTTGAAATTTATACACAATTTGTTCTTCATCCTAGTCCTTACTTTCTGTTATTGGGAATTATTTCCGGTATTTTGAAAATGTTCACAATATAGCTCATCTTATTCTGTCTATACTACATGTTGAATCGTATTTCCGCTATTTTTGAATTTCCCGCTATCCGTATTTAAAATTTTTGAAATTTCTACACAATTTGTTCTTCATCTAATTCCGTTTCGCTTCAATCCTAGTCCTTACTTTCTGTTATTGGTAATTACTTCCGGTATTTTGAAAATGTTCACAATATAGCTCATCTTATTCTGTCTATACTACATGTTGAATCGTACTTCCGCTATTTTTGAATTTCCCGCTCTCCGTATTTAAAAATTTTGAAATTTATACACAATTTGTTCTTCATCCTGGTCCTTACTTTCTGTTATTGGGAATTACTTACGGTATTTTGAAAATGTTCACAATATAGCTCATCTTATTCTGTCTATACTACATGTTGAATCGTACTTCCGCTATTTTTGAATTTTCCGCTATCCGTATTTCAAAATTTTGAAATTTCTACACAATTTGTTCTTCATCCAATTCCGTTTCGCTTCAATCCTAGTCCTTACTATCTGTTATTGGGAATTACTTCCGGTATTTCGAAAATGTTCACAATATAGCTCATTTTATTCTGTCTATACTACATGTTGAATCGTACTTCCGCTATTTTTGAATTTCCCGCTATCGGTATTTCAAATTTTTGAAATTTCTACACAATTTGTTCTTCATCCAATTCCGTTTCGCTTCAATCCTAGTCCTTACTTTCTGTTATTGGGAATTACTTCCGGTATTTTGAAAATGTTCACAATATAGCTGATCTTATTCTGTCTATACTACATGTTGAATCGTACTTCCGCTATTTTTGAATTTCCCGCTATCCGTATTTAAAAATTTTGAAATTTCAACACAATTTGTTCTTCATCTAATTCCGTTTCGCTTCAATCCTAGTCCTTACTTTCTGTTATTGGGAACTACTTCCGGTATTTTGAAAATATT